AGGTTCATGGGTTTAGGGTTTAGGGTTTAGGGTTTACCTAGACGGCCTAGCTGCCCTCTCATATACCCTAAATACCCACTATGAAGGACTATAAGGGCTCTATTCTGGGACACCTGGGGGGTCCTGGTAGGGTTTAGGGTTTAGGGTGGATAGCCCCAAGATGCTGTGGCATCTTTTGTGCCATAAAAAGGTTCCCATCTTGATATTTCTTCGGCCAGATGTGTATCCGGTATAGGCACATGGGTTTTTAGGGTATGTTGTCGAGCTACGGTCGGAACATCCCGAAAACTGATCGCCCCGCCCGGGCATAACCGCTGAAGGGGCTGACCCAAAACCCGCACAGGTCTGTTGGGGGTATTTCGCATCTCACAGACTACCTTCCTGGGCTATCGTTTAAGCGGAGGTATCATTTATAGAGTCATCTTCGGGGTCCTGAACCCCAAAACATCCCGAAAGGGTACATTCCACACATGGGTCAGAGACCTACCCAGAGGGTCCATGTGCCTGAATAGTATGTATATACATATATATATATATATATATATATTGGCCCGAAAGTACCTATATAGGGACTACATTAAGGCCAATGTATACCCTATTTGGGTACATGGACCCTTAGGGACACAAAAGAAACGATGGCTGCGCTTGCTAGGCGAGCGCTGGGATCCCTCCAAGCGGCGGTTCTCTCGAACAGTCAATGCTAACTGCAGACCTCCGATCTCTGTGTGTGTGTGTGTGTTTGTGTTTAGGGTTTAGGGTTTAGGGTTTAGGGTTTAGGGTGTTTCCGTGTATTTCTGTGTGTGTTTCTGTGTGTGTGTGTGTGTCTTTGTTGATTTCGTCCATTTCTGAAGGTGCATGGATTGCTACACGAGGCCATCCTGAAGATCTTCCCGAACGTCACATGCACTTCATGGTGAACATTCCACAACTCCTGCCGCACCTGTCGTGGCCAGCACCGAGTTCCTTGACGGTATGAGCAACGTGCTGTGTAGCTGCTGCGACTTTCTTCTGATCCTCGACGTTTACCCAGCCGTGAGCCTGAGCCACCAGATGCGGTGTATCGGCGTTCCTGCGCTGCAGTCCGATGTCCATACTATAGGGGCCTTAATGACTACCTATACTATTTTGGGGGGCTCCTTATTATAATTATAGTTTTCTGGGCCCCAAAACCTTATTCTAATTATTAAGGCCCCTACATTATGTGCAAGTAGATGCCAATTGCCAGACTCCGCTGCTGTCACCCGCAAAAGCTGCACGATTCGGTCCAAATCATGAGCCTACGCCGGTTGGCTATCGTTTCGATGCAACTCAAGGAGGGTTGTTGTTCGACGTGCTACAGCAACATGAAGTCATGTTGCTGCTATCATGTGCTTCTGTATCAGTTCTACGACTGTGCCTTGATGCTAGACTGCAACATGATTTCGCAAGTTTTCGCTTCCGTCGTTGATGGTACCGCTGCTCTTACTCATCTTACTCATTTGACTCGTTCGTCAGTGCTGTATCAATGATTTTGTCTGTGCTAGTGGGAACATGGCAACTTCTGCTGCTGTGAATACTGCTGCTTTTGCTGCGGATGTAAACAGTGCTGCTGTTGTTTGATGGCTCTCACTAGCATTGACAGTTCCAGCTCAAGTATCACCAATGCTGTTGCCACCGGGTTTTGTGACCAGTTGTAGCATGTATGCCATAGTCCTTGCTCGCAGAGTTAGTGTGAATATATCGTTGGTAATGCTCTTTGTCTTTGGCTGTGACGGTTGTCTGCATCCGGAGTGATGTCAATGTTGTTTTTGTTGATGAAATCATGGGTTTGGTTCGGTGCTGCTGCCGATGATGAGCGTATTCATTGTTCGATGACACTTGTCATGCTGTGGTGGCAGTTGTCGCAGCCGCTGTTGCTGTTGTGTCCACCGGCCTTGGTGGTAGGGGGTAGGGGTCTTATTCCATCGTGGCTGGTGTTATTGGTTGTGGTGGTTCATGTTACTGCTGTTTTCCCAGTATGTATTTCTCGACGCGAACAACTGTGCTCTCGCTATAACTGTCATAACTGCTCCGTTGCTTTTCCTGTGCATGAGGCCGCAGATTTAGCAGCCTGGAACCAGGCTCGCAAACGGGGCTTCTTGTGTCAGGGATGCGCACGACCTTCAGTTAGACGAAGAACCGGGGAACGGATTTGAAGACTGCTCAACAGATTTATGCAGTTTCTGCCTCATTGAGCCCCTAATCACTAAACCCATAAACCCCCTACACTCCCCTAAGCCATCAATACTTCGGCGAACGTAGGCATCCGGACCACTAGCCTCAGGGCTTAGGGCGTTCGGGGTTTAGGGTTACGCTATCCTGAATATTGGTCACCCGCCTTCGCAATACTTTCAAAGTTCTAAAGCCCGAAACCCTGCACCCGACCCATTTTCTGACCCCATTTCTTCCTAGACCATAAGACACCTACATACCCTTGTAAGGACTTGTCAGGAGCCGTTTAGGCATCTAAGTCGGTTGCAACACGGAGAACGTGCTATGCGTTTCGTGCTTGAGGTGCAATGCTAGGGGATCCAAGCATGATACACAGCTTAGACCATGATAATTCACACTTCCCCTAAGGGTCCATGTACCCAAATAGTGTATACATTGGCCTTAATGTAGTCCCTATTATATATAGGTACTTTAGGGCAAATGTATATACTATTTAGGTACACGGACCCTTAGGGTTCTAGTTCATGATGGATTCAGCATGAAGTGATTTGGCGTTTAGGCTTACTGATGGCGGCACCGAAAACCCTTACCGAAACGGGGTTCAGGTTTAGTGTTTACGGCCCCCATAACACTCCGTAAGGGTCCATGTACCCAAATAGTGTATACATTGGCCTTAATGTAGTCCCTATATAAGTACTTTAGGGCCAATGTATATACTATTTAGGTACATGGACCCTCTGGGACTGTGTACCATCTCCCTGCGAAGCTTCAACAAAACATACCCCCGAGTCCTCTCAAGCGTGTGAGCCTTGGGCGGCAGCCTGTCGAACGCAATGAGCCCTGTGAAAGCTCGCAGGATTCGAGCACACCCTCTGCACCAACGCAATCTTGCCACCCCTGATCACTTATAGTAGAAGCCATAAAGTTGGAACATTATCATCCTCATGCCCTTAAGGTAAAGTATAAGGGATCCTAGCACGAATCCTCGTAAAGCCATGTTCCATTTTTTGGGGGGTTTCGCTATGACCTAAACCCTAAACACCGACCCGAGCCGGTTGAAATGTGAAGGTCGTACGAGCCTCGGCGCTTACCTGGAAAGCTGTGGGGCCGTCTGGGGCGACGCCTATGAGGCACGCGCGGGATAGGGGTGACTGGCTGGATGTGTCTCAGCGACTGCTCAGGGCTCAGGGCTCGTACGTATACACAGATTGCATACAAACCTGCTTGCCGGTGATGAAACCGGTTGAGGTGGATATGAAGACAATGACATGGATGATCGGTGTCAGCACCGGCGTTCGGCGATGATGGCTCTCAGTAGCGACATCGATTATGACTTTTAAATCACTACTGTAAACACTACAGCTTTAAGTTTCGTAGCGGCATCAACAGAAGATGTTTTAGCGTGCGGTTGATACCTTTGTTATTTCGTATTACGTCATGCCATTTCTTACCATAGCATATTCATACCATTGGACACCATGCCAAATCATATCGTGTTCTATAGTGTCAGTCTGTACTGAATTGTATTCCCTTGTGTTTATATCGTTATGCTACGCTGCATAGTAGTATGTTTTTATGGTTTACATTGTATTTCTTGTACCTTATCAGACTTATATATGACAGTCTACTGTGCTTGTTTAGTGTGTTCTTCTACTCTATTATATTCTATTATCCTCTACGCTGTTTTGCTCTAGTCGATTCCGGTCCGCTCCATTGTGCAAGTTGGCTTTATGTCCTATGGCATAGTAAAGAATATATGTAGATATATTATCATACTGTAACGCATCATACCATCGTAATTTTGTATGTCGCAACGTCAGACTATCTCAAATGATGGAAATTTAAAGATATTCTACTAATCTATATCATATTTCATGATGGTATGTTTATTGAACCATGTTATGTTATGGTAAACTATGTATGTTGTATATTATGTTTGCGCATCATGCTCATTGTTTACTTTTTATATGGTTCCGAAAAAAGTTCGGTGTAATATAGTACAGTAACATAGATTAGATCAGGCTTTAGATTTGTGTGGTTTTGTGTTCTATGCTGTAACTCGTATCGTATAGTATAGCAGAATATCCTCTAGTACAGTAAAGTAAAGCAAAGTAGAGTATAGCATAGTGAGCTGAGGTTAACATCGTATAGTAAGCTCTGATACAGGATCTTTCTATTGGTGTACTTCGTTTTACTCGTCGTCGTCTTCATCTTCGTCATACCAGTAGCAGTAGCAGTAGCAGTAGCCCTGAAGTAGCCGCATCCGTAGCTTGAGCTGCAGCCGTAGCCTTTCCAATAGCAGCAGCAGCAGCAACCGCAGCAGTAGTAGCAGCAGGAGCCATAGCAGTACCAAAAGCAGTCGGACAACGTGGTAGTAGTGGGAGTGATAGTGGGGGTAGGCAGCAACAGGAATAGCATCAGTGATTACAACTTGTCGAGCTACCGATAGCTTGAACTACGTACCACTACCTAGTCGAATGCCAGCTACCTATGTCTACAATCAGCGGTTGTGCGAGGCACCAACTGGAATAAAGCCTGCCCTGTCCTGTGTCTTCTTGGTTCCTAGCTCTTCCTCCCGGCTGCTTACCAGTGCATGATGATGTCAACGGCAAAGGCAACGGCAATGATGACGACGATGATGACGATGAGCTACTGCGTCTCAGAAGTTTGCCTGCGCAAATGTGAAAGCCAGGTCGAACCAGTGCAGCTTGTAGACGAAGGCAGACGATGTTCCTGGCGCCACGTTCTCGGCTCTGTCTCTCTCACCATTATAACTATACTACAAAAGGAGCCCCAAAGCCTATTCTAAT